TCTTCTCCATCAGGAACCTGTAGAAAGACTTTTACAGGATTCGGTCTGGAAGAATCCCTAGGGACTGCCTTCTGGTGTGGTTTCCAGAACAAGCACTACAGACATTCTTTCCCTTTGCGGTATTGGAGCTGGCTTGATTGAAAGTTTTGCTACCAACCTTCAAATCTTCAGGCTGCAGCTTTCAAAAAAGGAGAAGGTGAGAGAGCTATAAAACTTTCAGTGCCAACGCAGCAGCATGCATGCCATCATTCTGTCTGCTGTCAGCACTCTAATTAGCACCCTAGGTTCATGCAGGCCACAGCAATTAACTCATTTATGAAGACTGAGGTGATATCAATCACTTTGATCCTATTCTTTGACTTTCCCTTATGTTCTGGCCAGCCTTACAGGGCTGTCAGGACCACTCCTATGTTGATCTTGCTGGTGAAGGAAGTGGGAGAAGGTGCTCCAGCTGAGAAAGAGGCCACCCTTCCTGCAGCAGCCCCCTCTGCCTGGCATGCAGAGCACAGCCTCACCCCATCTTTCCTGTCCAGTGGAGACAGGTGCTGCGGACTCGGCACCCTGTCTTCCTACGCCCAGTTAGGAATGTGGCCGCCTGTTAGGCTGTTTCAGTGGTGGAGATGAGGGGGAGAGGATCTCTCTGCACAATAAGTTGATTCATGCTTTCACCACAAGGCAATGGTATGAATGAAAAATTAATCAGATTACTTTTTGCCTAGCTTGGTAGTTCTAGATAATCCCACTTCCCCTAGCATTTCTTGTGAAACCCAGGCCATTACTCCCAAGATTGTATGACACTTTCCTTTTTTGAAGATAAAGAGTTGAGATTTCTGTAAAGATGAGTAATTGAAGAGAACATGTACAGGGGCACCACAGCAGGGGTCGAGAGGAAAAAAGGTATCTTCTGGGTACGAGTTGTTGAGGTCTACCTAGCATTGATCTACATTTTCTAGCCACAGTGATGACATGTTCTTGGAGACTGAAATTGCAGGAGAGTTGTTCCTGGAACAAATAGACAGTTTAAAGTGGCAAGTGAGCAGGCCCAGATGTTGTATATTTGAGAGCTCAGAAGAGATGGTGTCAAGTGGTTGGACTGCGAGTAGAAATACGCTCTCAGTTGTTAAAAAGAGAAGCTCCTCTTAGAGGTGGGAGGGTAGCAGGTGTTTTACCTGTTTTGGTTTTTTTCTTTTTAGAAGGATTCTGTGATTGAACTAAGTAATTACAAGGCAGTAAGTCTTTTATGTGTACCTATTATACTGGTTGAAATGATCAAGTCCTTTGTAGATGTCTGTCACTGTATATATTTAACCACTTGATAGCATGGTAGCCTAGCTTCTCCAGTAGACTGTCTCTCAGTAATCTAATGGAGTGGTTTGAATTTGTCAATAAATTAGGAAATAAAGAGCAGATTAATGTAACTTGCTCAAAAATCCTTTGGAAAGGAGAAAGAGATGAAGAATTATCATGAATGGTGAACCATCTGAGAGAGGAAGCTGTTTGTAAGGTAACAAAGAGGATCCAAGGGTTCGTTCTGAATTTGCCTTGCCATGTGCCTGGTGGTTCCACTGGGCAGTGACACAGCTTTTTCAGCTCAGTCCGGATCAGAGGTGATTCCAGCAAGCTCTAAGCTGCAGGCAGCTCATGAACTTCACTGTGGAGGAGTGTAAAGTAGAGCATGGAGGTGGAAAATGAGAAAAATCATATGGAGCACCTTAATGATACCAGATACTGAAAGAGCCCCAGGCATCTCTTCTCAAGTAAAACCTTTGCTTAACAAGAAGGTGCAATCAAAACAAAGCAAAGAATATGTTAGGATCTGTGAAGCCTGGATGAGGAAGGAATGTGAACAATATAAAAATTCGTCAGCTGTCTGCAGTACTGCTCAGCACATCTCAGAAGAAGCAATAGAGAGTGAAGGATGTTCAGGGAATGCTGATGGAGATGGTTAGGGGCCAGGAAAGATTCTCCTAGGAAAGGAGAAAGACTGTGACTCTTCACGGACACTGAGAGATGTGATACATGTAATTTAATAAAATACTGAGTGGTATAAAGAGAGTGGATTTGGAGCTTCTGTCTTCCTTGTCTCAGCAGAAGACAGTCAGTGAAATACAAAGGAAGCAAACAGAACTGATGGAAAGAGATATTTTCTCCTGGATTTTTTCAGCTAAACCAGGGAACTCATTTCAGTAGATGCCCGTGAGCCTCCAAACGGCAGGGCCAAAAAGGTGAGGGTGATACATGGCTGGAGGGTTATGATAGTAACATGGGTGGATTTCTGTAAGAATTATCTGTTGTGGTTCTGGTTTCAAGAAAGCTACCAGGAAATAATATTAGTCTCAAATGGAAAAGGCAAGGATGGACTAGTTTTTAGGATCGTAGGATAACTCAGGCTGGAAGTGCCCTCAGGAGGTCTCTAGTCCAGTGTCCTGCTCCAACCAAGCTCAGCTGCAGGGTCAGACCAGTTTCCTTAGGGCTTTATGCAGTCTGTCTGACCCGTTCTGCCTTCTGAAGGGTTCTGGGCTTTTCCTGCAGCAGCATGCAGTGCTGCTCGCTGCTGGGGATGTGCTGCTGAGCTGAGCAGCCCCTGAGCTGTGCATCTGAGTTGCCTGCATATTTGAAGTACACAGGTCAATGGAAGTGACAGAACTTGGCACCATCAGAGCACGTGCTGTTGCTGTCTCCCTCTCCCTGCAACTTGAGCAAAAAGAGCAGTCAGTGCAAGATACACTAACTCTCACCTTTCCCTTCCGTTTTCCAGGTTCCATCTTGCATTCTTATTGATTCTGCTTTGTACCATTTTGCTGATCCACATTTACTTGAAGGGCCCATTTGGGCTATAGGTTTGGCATCTAAGTGGATAGGTGAGTGCTGCTGTTTATTTCATTTGAACAGCTTTGTGATTTGTTGATGCCTAAAATCTTCCAAAATGAATTGAATATTATACTGAAATAAATTCTTTTCAAAGCCGCTACTTTTCGAACTCTACAAACTGTCACCAAAACTGGCTGTTAGGTACACCAGTAGCAGCAGCATTGGAAATACTGAGATGTTGAACAGAGCAGGAGCCTGTAAATACAAGTTTGAAAATGGAGGAGTAAGACAGATAAATTCTTAGTTAGTTTTGCATCATTTATATGTCCAACTTGGTATACCTGGGGCACTGAACATTGATTGCAAATGCTAAAGTCCTGATCTGTTTCAACATTTAATGTCAGGAACTCACCATAAATAATGTGACAGTAGAAATGTGTCTGTGAGAGATATTTAGAGCTGTAGAGGATGTGAGATTCTGTTTTTCTCCACATGCTGTCTCCTACTTAGAAGAAAACGGTCAATTTACAGTGATAACTATACCAAGATTCTGTCCAGGAAAATTAGATTTATGAACTGACTACATAAAACTTCAGTTTCTCTCTAACAGGAAATGACTTCAAGATTCACAGCAAAATCCTCTGCTGGTTTGGGAGCCTGTGTTTAAAATAAATAAATCCATTAACATCTGTAATTGCTTATAGGAAAGGCTGACCCATGAAAGTGTGTAACCAGCATTCCTTAGCCTCACATGTCTGCAGCCAAGCCATTTGAGAAAACAGTCTCGCATGTGTTTTTCCTGCTTTTTGAGTCTTTCTGTGCCCAGAGCTTTAGTGGAGAAACTGAACCACAGCTGCTGCTGTTCCAAGTGAAACACTCTGGTTTAGGCTTGAAAGAAATAGGTTTTGGGAGCAATATAAAACCTCTGGTAAAATAGCCAGAACCATAGTGAACTTAGGACTAGGAAGGAGAGGACAATCAAAATGTCTAAGAATAGAGATCTAGTTTTAAGGTTGCTGGGGTGTTGATGGCATTTCCATCTGGACATTGTAGCAAGTGCTGTTCCAAGTAATCCCTCGCTAGTACTGCTGTTCTTATTGTAGCTGAAAAGATTAGGAAACTCATTTTGAAAATACCATTTAGTTAGTCTGTTTACTCTGTGTATTCAACAGCAGTTTGCAGAACATAGTCAGTGCCATGGTTTATTTCGTATGTAGAGGAAGAGTTCAGTATTAGCAGGAGAGCAAATCCTGAATGTGAGCAGCCATGGAGGTAAGAGGAGAGAAAGGATGAACATGTTTGATAGAATTGTTCTCAGCCTTGTCCCAGAAACTCTTCTGAAATGCCAGAAGCTGCCTTTATTTACTTCTCAAAATGAGGTCGGACTCTCCTCTTTAAAACTGCAGTGTTGCAAAGCAGAATTGTACACTCTAGAATAGCTGCTTGATCAGAAGGATTTTTTTTTCTCCTCCCTTGCTGCATTCACTGATCTTGTGTTATATAAATGTAAGTATGAATGCCTATAAAAAACCCGACAGGCTCAAATCCTGAGCTCCAGGACGAAAGCCTACACAGTATCACATATCTGTTTTGAAAGCTCTCCTCCTCTTTCCTAATGTGGCTTGTGCATATCTGTAGTCCAATTACAGGGATAGTGTTTTGGGTCAATACATGCTTTTTCTAGTCTTACCATTTTATGCAAATTCTTTCTTCCTTCAAGGTTCTACACCAGCCCTGCCCCACGCTGCATCTTGCATATACCATCCTACATAACCACCTTTTTTTTCATTTCTTTATTTAAGGGCTTTAGTAAGTGTTTTTCTGAAGCTCTGTAGCATATCATGAAGATCCTACACATGCTCTGCGCAAACTGAGGTGCTTAACTGTTGGTCTGGAGACCTCTGAAAACCCAACTTGTGAAAGCAGGTGGGGTCCTTGGAGTAAGGATGTGCTTCACTAAATGGCTGTGAGTTAAGTGTGAGAGAATGAACTGTCAGAACAGCACAGAAGTGCCGACTCTGCTGACCTTGTTGAAGTCTGGAGAATGGAGATGTCTGAGCTTGTGGAAGGGAATTGGTGAAAATTGCAGGTCACGGAGGATGCAAACCTGAACTGGTTCTGGTGTCTCCCTCTGCTCTTCAGTCCTCACAGTGTCGTTAGGCCACTGTGGTACTGGAACCTGCAGGCCAATGGATGAACAGGACAATGATTTTAAAGAGTTGTGGGCAAATCTTTTGAGCGGAGCAAAGAAAAAAGCTGGAGATGCTGAGGCAGCAAAGAGGGCTCAGAACAGGTCAAAGAGCACTGCAGCAAAAAGCAAGTTGAGAAGAGGCAAAGCTACTGTTAAGAGCCAAAGCAATCATCACTTACCAGCAGTGAAGGAGTCAAATTGGCCTCAAGATTTGGGTCCAAAGGAACAAACATTGGTGCACAAAGACGATGGTGATGCTTTGGCCTGTAGTAGTGGTGAGACCACACAAGGAGATGGAAGGAGCGTTTTCCCTGCCAGCCAGCCAAGTACAGCGGCCAGTGAGTGTAGCCAGAGGACCCTGACAGGTGAGTGAACCAAAATCTTTCAAACAGAAAATAGGCCAGGACTGAAAACACTTTGTAGTTCAGTGAAGGTCTTCAGAATTCCACTTGGAGGGGATATATAACAGTACTGGTCGAAGCAGGCTTGCATATCATGCTTCCAACTACACTTACCTACTTAGGCTTATCCAGAAGTTTAACCTAGGAGTGTGTTCTGTGCTGCAGGCAGGCAGAAGATGTCCTTCTGTAAGTTGAAGCCTTGGTACAAAGTGATATGTTGAAGAGTGGTTATTCACTGGTTTTCTTCCAAAATTAGAACTGAGAAAAACACTTTCAAATCATCTAGAAGCAAGACAGGAATATATTGAGATGCTTTTTCACCTAGTGCTTCATTGTAGGGTGAAATACATTGGCACTGGATGTCAGGAAATATGTTGGATTAATTCGTAAAGAATTAGTCCTTCAGTGGTTATTAGGTGTGATGGCCAGAATGTGGTCACCAGTACAGGAAGTCCTTAAACTGTAGGGCTGCCTTGGTTGTTTTTGCTAGTGACCTTCAGGTAAGTCCTTCCTTTATATTTCCTCCTCTAAGAGGGATATAGAGATATCTGAACTCCCCTGTAGCACAAAAGCCTGATACTGTTACTGTGGTTATAAAGTATAAAGTCACATGATAGCTTAACAGATTGTTCACATCTTCTCTAAGAATGGCTGTTGCAAAACTGAGCCTGGCTTAGGCTGCTGTTGGGGAAGGCTTCCCAGCAGCTGTCTGGGCTTTGTGTTTAAACCTGACTGGTAAAGCTCTGGTGTTTTCTCCCCCTCTAGTGAATACTCTGAGTGGCTGTTCTCAGACTACATTATCCGTCCATCCTGCTACACAGCCAGGGACCTGCTCTTCACCCACCTCGAAGATCCTGCCGCTCGCAGGGTCTAAGGTGCGGGTAGCAGAGCTGGTAGTGGAGAGAATGCAGCAGTTCAAGAGAGTGGCACCTGAGCAGTTAAAACACAGCACAGACAACAGCTTGCTAAAATCTGCAGCCAGCGAGGATTTCCCTGACAAAAGCCAGGAGCAGAACCCACCAGAGAATGGTACGATTCTCTTGTTAGCTCTTCTACGTGCAGAAAGAGGAGTGCTGCGGGCTGGTAAGAATGGTTGCATGTGAAGCAGTCCAGATTCCTGGGCTCTGTTCCCAGCTAGCCTAGTGGCTCAGTGTGCAGCACTGAATAAATCACTCCAGATCGCTGGGAAAACTTGCTTTCTCTGTTTTTAAAGGGCTATCCATACTTCTCTCTCCCAGCTCTTCTCTGAGGTTGAATTAACCTTATGCTCAATTCTGGAGGGATAATTGTCTTCTTGGAAACAGGTGGAAATGCCAACAGGATCAGTGAACTTTGTCAGCCCTTCACTTGGGAGTGTTAGGTAGCTGTGAGGTAAATATGACTTTTAGGTAGCCTCTGTCCTTTGGTAGATCTCCAAGCACTCTACAAAAGTAGTATGTTCTGTGCAGATCAATTGAATACACAGCAATTTTACTCTGGTTTGGTTCTTTGTAAGTCAAGGCCCTTTTGGTTCTGTATGAGCATGGAAATATAGTTTTAATCTAGTTTAATAAATAATGACAGGTATAACAGCTCCATGCCTTTCATGCAGGATTCTTAGTTTTCTATCTTCAATCATCTCTTCCTTCTGTGCCAGATACCCACCATCGTCCATCCGTGGAGCATGACAGTGCTCTGGCTTTGGCTCTTGAACAGGAAACCAAAGAGGAAGCCCTGGCAAGCCTGGAGGATGTAGGCTTGTTTTTTTGTCAGATCTGCCAGAAGGATCTCTCAGCCATGAACTCGACACGACGAGAGCAGCATGTTAACAGGTGAAAGACCAGCACGATGTGTCCTTTCTGCATCCTCTCCCCCTTAACCTCACAGCCTGCTCACTCAGCTTAGCCATTAAAGAACATGGTAGAAGGGAATCTGCATAGTGGCACTGACCTTTATGGCTTGAATTAACAAGTCGTTTTGATCTCAAAGCAGAGGCTGGTTGTTGTGCTCTGCAGAGCTTCTGCATGTGTGTGGCAAGGAGCTGCAATTGTAAAGTGACTATCAAAATTAATGAGGACTCAGTATTGCAAATTTTGGGATCTGCTGATTTCAGCCAACAAAGTAATGTTTGCTCTGTTTTTCTAAAAATTGTTTGTCTAAGGACTTCTAGTGTGTCACTGTGTATCCAAGCTGTTTGCGAAGGGAAAGGTGATACTATTCAGAAAGACGTCTAACTTGCACTATAGAGCTTTAACAGGGAGAGTAGAGACTAGGGAAAGGCGTCCCTGCCTTTTCTTTCATTGGAATGTGTGCAATTAAATTAAAATCAGTGCCCTTAATTTAACAGTTTACCTTAGTGGTAAATATCAAATAATTTTAATAGGTTATGTGCAGATAGCTCATTGTAAATTAGAAGTCTGTACTTCTCTGTTGAGAAAGTATCAGAAACAGCACATTTCAGTGGGTAGTTTCTTAATTTCAAGCACATTCAGAGGGTAAAAGTGGTTTGATTTGTCCAGTCCTACATTGCATTATTGAGTGGCTCACGTTCATTAGGGTTGTCTACACCTGCAGCTTTGGAGGTGTTACTGCTGTTTCTGTCTTCAGATCTTTACTGCTGCTTGAGAGGACAGAGGCTGTAAAACAGTGACAGTGTGTCAGAAATGCCTTTTAGAAATTATGTCTGCTTTCAGAACTATTAAGCGTGTAATCATATGATGAAATTACAAGGTTGTATTAGCAATGGATTTTTTGATAGCAGCCTTCAACACAAGAGGTAAAGCTGTAGAGGGATGGATGCACTGGCAAACTAGCAATCACCAGTGCTAGTATATCAGATGAATGGTCTCTTAACAGCCCTGTGTGTGTAGGTAGTGTGTGTCATTATCTAATCAGGGAGTAGTTTCTATAATAGATACTTCAGATCCAGGATTTCACACCCTGAATCTCTTTGGAGAGGACAGAAAAAGAATGATTAAATTTTTTTACAGAGTTTTGGTCTACCAGAAATTATGAGAAGTTCACTATCCTGCACTCTTGAGTGTGGTGTTAATTTCAACTGCTCCCTTTTCTGTGATGTCAAACACTGTCCTTGTCAAGTGAGATATCTTGAAAACAGCTTGCGTTATTGGCGCTGCACGTGGTCATGCCTAGAGAAGTAGTAAGAAGGACAAGAAGTAGTCACGTTTCGAGTGAGAAAGACCATTTTTCTTTTGCAGGGTGATTCTTTTTTTAACAGTGGTTTGTAAGTTAGCTGGAGTGTTCAAATGAATGCAAAAAGCAGTATTATGTGATGGACACTGGATGAAGTTAAAGAAGGTTATTTCCTGCACTTGCTTTTGAGCAACATGTTTTTAATATGCCTCTGAGGCCATAATCTCCTCGTAACTCTTAGGTGTCATATTCATCATATGTGGTGGGCACATAATTCTTGTTTCTTTAAAGGAATGTTTCTGTCTGTTACAGATATTAGAGATGATTGTGCTTCCTTTTCTTTACTATGGTTTAAATCTTAGCATGGACAGTTTTAAAGTCTTCAGAGGTAAGCTTTGCCATTGTCTCACAGGTGTCTGGATGAGATGGAGGAAGCACAGATGTCATCCTCCAGCAAACCACTGGTCCCTGAATGTCCAATCTGTGGGAAGCAGTTCCAAACCTCACAGAGCCGAATCAGTCACTTGAAACGCTGTGCTGTCGAGATGGATGTTCCTCCTAAGCTGCTTCTTCAGGCGGTGCAGTTGCAGTTGTCCACGCTTGGTGATGCACCTCTTCAGTGTCCCAGGTAAGCTGGTGAAAATAAAAGATGCTGGTTACTTTCTTTGGCCTGAGAGACATTGACCTTGTGCTCCTGAGGATAAATCGTAGAAGTGAGGCACACTTACACACTGTGTGGGCCCTAAGTCCAGAGAAGATTAAGTAGAGCCATGAGCAAGTACCACATGAGGAGAGTGTGGTAGGTAGTTGGAGAAATCGTTTTGCTTTCTTTCAGAAGCAGTTAGATGGTAGATGACTTTAAAAGTCAGCAGACAGGAGCAAAATGGGGAGTAAATAATCTTACACTGGTATGTCAGAAATATTTGTGCTCAATGAGACAGTTCTGCAGTAAAGCTGCACAGTGTGTTTGAGCTTATTAAGCAAACCACATAGTACGAGTATACAGTCTCCTGAGCATCTGTTGGGCCAATGCCTCAGCTCTTCAGCTTGTGGCTGTACTGGATATGTGTGCTTTGCACCCCGAGCCAAGGAGGACACAGTTGTGATGTTATGAAATGCAGAGCTGCATCTGCTGTCCTGGATTTGAGCAGAATCTTCAGAGTACAGCAAGTGGTGCCTGGCTGAATATGTAGAAGGGCTCTTAAGTCCCTGTGTGCTGAGGAAGAACCGTTGCCTGTTCCCTGTGGAAGCAGAAGAGTGGGAAAGCATTTTCTGGTGATCTTGGTTTTGCCTTACTTCAACTTGTTTTTTCTTCTTCGGTACAAAAAAAGCATTCAAGGTGGAGATAGCAGATGCTGTAGTCTTGTGCTTACCTTTTCAAAATAAAATTTTCTCTAAATTGCCCTAAATCCCATGGATTATAAGAAATCCTCTGCTCTCTGGTAGGGAAGAAGTTATTGAATAGTTTTTCATTATCCTTGATATGGGAATCTCTCTGAGCAAACAGAGCAGCTGGTCTGGAGTGCTGTGTGTTTCTTGTCTCTGATCCAGTCACATTAACTTGGGCTTCCTGCTGCATTCTTGCATTTCAGCAATCAACCAAGCAAGTCAAAGCGAAAAGGCTCCTCCGAAAAAGACTCAAAGAACAAGCAGAAGAGGGCCAAAATGGAGACTAAGGATGAAGATTTGCTGGTTGCTATGGCAATGTCACGCTCTCTGTTGGAGCAAGAAAAGCAGGAACAGACCAAATCAGTTACACATGTGAAACCAATGGCTGCTTTGCCAATCAAATGGAAGCCAGGATCAGGTACGTGTTGAAGTGGGTTGGTGTCAAAGGCTGTGTTACTGGAAGAGTAATGTACACAGCTTGCTCTTCACTAAATCTCTCCTGCTGGGTATAGAAGGAATGACAGCCCCGTTTCTGCTTTATTTAAACTGTCAGAGCTTCAACAATGTGCAGTATTCACATACAGTCAAGAAAGACTGCAGGATGTCCGTGGGTTTTAGTGAAATCCCGTACGAATCTCATGCTTTTTTTTCACTGATTGATTGTTTTGCATTTGTAAAATATTCTTAAGATAAGCTGTTGGTTTTTTGTAAACTGTGGAAATGAAAAGAAATAACACGAAGAGGTTATTGTTTCTCCTGCAGTAGATTTTTTCCTGTTCATGCTGCTGGAAGCTGGATTAATGCAGCTTTTTCAGCTTTACCTCTTATCTCTCTGTTTTCTTTCTGTGTGTATACTACATGTCCTTTTGCTATTGCAGTGTGCAGAAAGATTTGGAAAGGAAAACAGCTGCCAGAGGAGAGCATTAGGTGCTGTACAAAGGGGAGACTTCACTTTCTGTGACACTGCTCAGATCTCCTCCTGCCAATAAGTACTCCCAGTTGGATTTGGGGTTGGGTGTTAGTAAGGCAAAGATAGTGTGATACAGGATTTCCAAATGAAGCTGTGCAGTGTTTGTGTGAGCTGTGACTTGATATCATCAGTGAGCAGTACACCAGAAAAGGAGTCCTTCGTGGATTTGTTGGTGTTTTTCTCTCCCTTTTCTGTGAAGCACTGCCATACAGGTGCCGTTCCGTGGGTCTGGGAGGTAGGCTGCATGGATGTCAGTTGCTTCCATAATGATCAGATTTTGTAGAGATGTAACAGTTCCCAACAGGCAGCAGAGCAGTGTGAGCAGGAGTCCGTCATTCCTGGAGTTCATTGTTCCTATAAGGATGATGTGAGGCTTTGGACTACCTGTGGAAATCATAAGAGTTGGGTTCAGCTTGCAGCTGCCTTTTGGTTGTCACTAACTACAACACCTGAAGGAGCTGGCACGTTGAGCTCCTCTGCCCCTGTGTGTTCAGCTATTTATTTATTTGGGTTTCTCTTCCTTTTCTTTTTAAAGAGAAAAGACGGCGTAAAAAAGGCCCAACTGCACCTCCACCATTACTGCTTCAGGACCCGGAGAAGACCCGCAAAAGGATCCAGGAGCGAGTAGCTATGCTGCTTGTGGAAGAGGTGGAATTCCCTCCCACCCCTCAGCTTCCCACTAGTAGAATTTTGGAGGATGTATCTGGGAAAGCAACCTGGCTCTTGCCATTGTCCAAAACCAAAGAGTGCTTTTTGTGGAATATCAGTGCTCTGACAGGACCCTCTGACCTTGAGTCATTCTACGCTGCTGCATTAACCCCCCACATTGTACCTTGGAAGCCTGTGCAGGTGCGATGCTCTTTTGTCCTTGCTCTGATACTTGCCCTGGTTCACTTTCCCTGTAGCCCTTTTGCTCCCTCATTTGGTATTTAAACAAGTGATCCTCTGCCTCTGTATGCTCACTGCTTCTGCCCTGTTGTCCCGTGGTCTTACACAGTTAGGTTTTACCATCTTGAACTTTCATTTCTCCTGTTTGGAGAGGAGACCAAGGCTCATGTTATTATGCTGTTCCTTGAGCTTTCAGAAAATAAAACTGATGGGCACAGAGGGTACTGAGTATAGGGATCCCATCCTCCTCATTTTGCTACTGGTTTGTGTTTACAGCAGTTTGACTCTTGTTTTCCTTCTTGGCACTTTTCTCTGACTGATTGTAGTTATGCCCATCTGCTGCACTTAGCAAGGATCTGGGTGAAAAGTTTATACTGAAGACTGATACTTGTCTTGCATAGAGGAGAAGGTGGGAGCACCTAAAGTTGTAAAGTGAAGCATTTGCATCTCAGGCTTTCTCTGTGCATCCCACTGCCTCTTGGTGCTTGTGAGCTTTGATCCAGTTTTCGGTTCCACTGTTCCATTCTGATTTTCACCTAGATCTCCTGCCTCTTTCAATGCCCTGCTTTTTTATAAAAAGTCCTACAGAAATAGACAAAGCTCTTTTAGTCTCTCACCACATACTTGCTTTCCAAGAGGAAGGATATCACTTCTCTTTCTTTCCTCATTCTTTCATTGTAGAACTATTTGGTGCTTCTGTTTAAAAAATACCATGCATATATAGGTGGTTATTTAACACTTCTTCCCTAATCAAAGCCCAGAGTGTTCCACTGGCTTATTGCAGGCTAGGGCTGTAGTGGAGGGACTCCATTCTTTGAATATTTTGGACCTTTCATTCGAGGCAAAAACTGCCAGAAAAGTTTAAAAATAGAAAGTAGAAAGGCCTTTAAAATCGAGGCAAGAGTGTGATTTTGCTCTGATTGTTTCCATTTGCAGAATTGGCTAAACCATTTTTACTTAGAAATAAACAAACAAAACTATTCTTATTGGGAAACAGAGACCAAACCTGGAAAAAATCGGCTCCAAGGTGAAAGTTTGATTAGTTACATGCCACTGCAAAAGCATTTCCGAACTCGGAACAGAAGCATCTGGAGAGCTTCAGCTGCAACTGTTGCCAGGCGCTCCAGCCCTAATGAAACACTTAGATGTTTCAGTGGGAGCATTTCCACTGTTATTTCTCCCTACTTGGCAGTTGCCCACACAGACATGCTCCTGGAGAAACCACCTTTTCTGCATTTGCTGTTGTAGTTTCTTCTGTTCAGAGCTGTCTTATCTCTGGAGAGTCCTTCATAAAACTACAGAGGGCTTTTGCTACAGAAGCTCATGTGCCTTGGTAATGCTCTGTAATCCTTTACTAGATGTTTCAAAAGTATGGAGTAGCGACTGTACTCTGAACTCTACAAATACATAAAACAAGACCTAATTTATTGGTGTCTCTTTCCTCTCTCTTTTGACCAGAATCATAAGCCAGAGAACCTTCTGCCATCAGTGGAATCTGATCAGCCAAAAGTATCCCAGCAGAGTCAGCCTGACCTCAGTTCTTGTGAGCCCACTTGCACAGAGGTTGGAGGCCAAACTTCTGATGAATCCAAGTCAGGCCATGAAGGAGACGGGCAGTTTTTATCTTGCGGCCAGAAGGATGTTCAGACCCTGCAGGACCTAGTTGAATTGGCCAAGGAAGGACTTACCCTCACTCAGTGGAACCTTGATATTAACCATGCTGAGGCAGCAGAGCAGCCAGGTAAGTTCTGGCAGCTGTGTGAGCCCTGTCCCTAGTCTCTTCAGCTACACAGAGCCAGACTTACGCTGTACTGTGTTAGGAGAGCCATGACGGCACCCACAGGATGTTGATGTTGATCCAAGAGGTGATATTGTGGGGGGGTACTTTTTCTACAATAAGCTTTAGATACAATCAAGCTGATGTTTCTGAAATGATTAATAACTCTCAGCATTTAAGAGAACTCCTGGGCAGCAGATACTAAATGAGTATTTTATTAACTTAAAAATTCCCTTAAAGATATCGAACCATTTTCTGCCAGACAAGTTCAACAGCTGGGCCAAAATGCTCATCCCAGTGATGTGGACAGTCTTTCTGTTATGCGCACTGTCTTTTGAGGTCTTGAGACAATCATGTGAAAGAGAAGTGCAAGAGGGATGGTTTTATGTTGGTACATAGATTACACAAACCTGAAGTTTATCTGTACCTAAATAAAGTTGAAAAAATACACCACCTAGAATTCTTCTACAGGCAACTCTGTAATGCCCCCAGTGATAGTTGCATGTGCTGCACAACTGCACATTGCAAGGTCAATGATATCCCTTAAAATGGCCTGGGTATTCAGCAGTATGTGTTGTGTGTTTCCTGTTCACCTGTGAAAGAGAACATGCCTGCTGAATTCACCTGTCTGCATTTTCAGTTGGTTGTAAAATTCCTCACTTTCCCCACTGAATTGCAGCAAATGATTGCTGGTCCTTTAAAACTACCCCTGGGTGTTCAATGGAGATAGAGCTTCCTGGGCAAGAGAAATCATTTATGCATAAAAATTTATATTGTGTGTGTAAATGAGACCAGGTGGAGAAAAAACACTGTGCAGAAACAGTGGAGACCAGGTGGAGAAAAAACACTCACACAGCTGAACGTGTTTCTTTCTCCACATCCTATCCTGTGTACTCTGTAGACTTACCACAGGGCTCAGGCCATGCAAAACTGATTTCACTGGGCACTGAGGCTCACAGCATTTTCTCTAAGTTGAAATGCAGATCCAGGATGTGTTCTAGGATGAAACTGGCATGTCCCATCCTGCTCTGTGTCCTAGTTGTTTTCCCACTGGAGGAAAACTGAGATGTGAAAGCAGAGGGCCATGCTGCAGTCTGCAGTTCCTCCATCTGGATGTTTATGGCACGCATCTCTCTGCAGTAGATTGGTGCTGCTCGTGGCTGAATGATACTCAGGTACCCACAGCCTGGCACAGCCCAGAGCCAAACCCTGCAGTGAAGGCATGAGGAAGAGGCTGAGCCTTCAAGCCAGTCGGGCTGGTTATAGCAGCTCTGTCAGGGAGTTGTCACAGCAAGGATCCTGTCAGGAGTTCTTACATCACTCTGTCTCACAAAGTTGTTGTACGTGATTTGTGATGTGCATTTTCTTCTTTAAGGAAAGGAACTGACTTCCAGTGATACTCCACACAGTGGCTTTTTTCCCCCATCCAAAGAGAAGAGCTTCCTGACGAGCAGCTGTAAAAGAGTAAGTCGGTCTTTGTTTTCCACTTTTTTAGTATTTATTTAACACTATAAAAAAGAAGCTCTTGCAATTCATAGAAGTACAGAATATTTCCCATTGCTTTCCATAGAAACAAAGAAGTTTTTAAGGTTCAGTCACTGAGGAATCATCATGGGTGCAGGTGAGCTCAGCACACATGGTGATATTTCACTGATGCCCACAAGCAGGGCTGTGGATTTTCAGTACTGCTACCTGATGAGAGAGATAAAGTGACAGGTGACATAAGGCAAATCTGTGCATAGTTTATATAAAGAGAACCAGGTTAAACAGTTGTGTTCTAGCACTAAGAGTATTTGGGGACAGGAGCTAGGGATGCAGCTGCACCACGTTAGGCAGTACTCTGCTTTAGTTCCCAGGCTATCTAAGAGCAAACTGGCTGCAGCCCAGGAGAGACAGAGCTGCCTGGTGCTTCCTCCAGGCTCACACATCCAGCTACTTTGGACGCTGCTGAATGGAGCTGTTCCTCTTCTCTCACCCTCCTCTCTCTCCATGCCATGCCTTGCAGTGTAAGAGAGAATTCTTGCAAGGACTGGCTGACTCACACTAAATCTGGGAAAGAAGCCTGACAGATGAGGTGGAATGCTGTGAGGTCTGTAAGATGAGCACTACTTTGCTGATAATCTGAGCTTGGTTTAGTATAGAAAATTCTCAATGGTAGGAACACAGAGCTTGAAAATCAATGTGCTCTCTATGGTGAAGACTCCAGGCTAGTAAGTCACGGATTATTTTTTTTTCTCAAGCCAGTAGTGTTCTGTTGGTCACATCTTACCACAGATGCACCAGTCCTTAACCCCATGGAGGTATAGTTTCCATCAGTTCAAGTGCTTATAAAAACCCACTTACTGTCGTGGTTTAGGGCTGGGCCGGC